TATCCCACAGCAACCTTCGTCACTTTTCTCAGTATGTTTTGCCGCCGCCTTTTGAAAAAGGGAAAGATTAAGGCAATAACCAAAGGCTAATCATGTGAATTCTCTCGTTTTCCTTTTGAAGAAAATAATAAATAGTGTATGAATTATATAACATATTACATCTAGTTCTTTTTATAAGATACAAATAATTCGATTATACATATAAAAAGGTTAGTTATGATTGGTTAAAAGTAATAAATATGAGGAATGGATGCAAATTATTATTTTCCAAAAAGAACACTTACTATGGGGATAGTGAAAGAGAACGAGTAAATAGGAAAAAGGTGTGATCTGAGTAAGAGAAAGACTAATCAACGATGCAAAAATAAAAATACTCTATCCGATTTTAAATATAAGATTCATTTTACAGTGTAAATTACATTACAAAATAGATCTTATACTAGTAATACTTAAATAGGTTATTATTGTCTTTTACAAACAAGAACATGTCATTCTCACCCAAAAAAAAGAAAGAACCTTTTAGTATGCGATAGACAGAGTGTTGTTCTAAGGAGTGTGTTTTGGCATTCTTCAAAAGCAATTTAACAAAAAAAAGTATTTTCATACAAGTTAATACAAAACTTTTTTTATATAGTTATTTTGTATATCGTAAATTTATTTTTAAAAAACTAATCCAAACTTAATTAACATCAAGAGATATACTATTAACATCTAAAGCCAATATCTTTGTGGCCATGTGAACATGTAGTGGCATGACAAGGACGACTAATTATGACATCATCTCCTACAATTATCCATCGAATCTCACGAGTCATTCCAAAAGCCGCGACGACTCATTTAACGTGCGTCTTTTATTAATTTGCGTGAACTTCCATAATCGGTGTCTTTTTTTTAATCTCTGGCCGCGACGACTCAATTCATGGAAATTTCTAAGATGCCTTCATCATACGTCGTCTCAACAAGAAATGTCCTTATTATCTCTGGCCACACTAAAAGAAAAAATAACAAGCATAAGTCATTGTCATTGTCATTGTTCTAAGTTGCCTCAATTATGCGTCGCCTCCATCCACTTGTTTTTCAATATCATCTTCTTAGTTGTCTTTGGAACCAAGATGAGAGGGGGAAAAAAAGAATTGCAGGTCCATTCAATTTAGTCGTTTTCAAAATTATCTTTGGTACTAGTTGGAAGTGGACTTGGATATTTCTTAAAATAAGTCCAAAAGAATAATTAATAGGTGTGGGGTCTTTCTTTCTTTGTCACTGTTAGAAGTTCAAATATGGAGTACTAATATAATAAATAATCTTTCATGTCAATAATTGGAAGAATTATGGCATTATTTGATATTGGGGCGTCACTTTCGGCGTGCTCAATAGGAAGTTTGGTAGTTGTCTCTTTCCTAGTCGATCGGATCTAGCAAAAGGATCAAGTCGCCAATAACATAATACATTAATATTTGAATTCTCATTAAGAGATACTCATATTTAGATTCCGCTTAGCATGAAGTATTAAAAGTTAAAAGTAAAGATTGTGATTGGAATTGAAAAATATGTTAAACAAGTGTTTAATATAAGAAATTACTTATTACTTAGAATTACACAAACTTATATATACGGATTGAGAAATACCATGGAAGGATACAGTATTCCTAAATCCCACCTATATAGGATTGCCTAATCCCATGTGATAAAAAATTACTCATACTGAACATTCTTTAATGATTTTTTTTAATTTTAATCTCAATTTTTACCTCGCGTTCTCAATACTTTGCACGAAAGGAGAACAAAAATTTTTCTAATAGAAAGATACCTGTGCCTAAAAAAAACTACTAAAATCAAATGGTTCAAAATGTTAGCTAAATTTAGATAAAAATAATAAATGTGTAAGATATATACATATGTTTCCGATTGTATACTCTTGTTTGTACAAAGAGTATATGAGAAATAATGAGTGAAAATTTATTAGAGAGAGGTAATGAATGACATATATTTAATTGAGATAAAAGTTAATTAAACGACTAATTTAAAATTTTAGACAAAGATAATTTGTTTATGATATATAAGGACATCACTATGAGAGAGATTATTTCTTATAAAAAGGAAAGGACGGAGTATGTATTTCGCTATTTCTTATTCTATTTCTTTCAAAGTATTTTCCACGTACTAAACTCTTCTGATCATTAATATAAGACTTACTTAACTAATTTAAATAGATTAAAAAAATTATTTAAATAAGTTAATATGATATACGTTTTTTTTAAATACCCTAATTATTTTTCTTAATTTTCTTCCTCCCCTCCTACTTGATTATTGTGGAGGGAATATCAAGAGGATTAATTCTGCTTGTGGGAGACTGAAAGGCGAGGAGTAAGCTAGAAGATAATGAAGGCACCGTTTGGGTGACACCCCAAACCATGGTTTGGGTGATAAGTCACCCAAACACCCACCCAATTTGCACAAGCCGTGATTTTGGGCCAAAATCATGGTTTTGGAAAAAGCAAAAAAATTTTGCTTTTGGAGAAAAAAGGAAGAGTGTGAGAGCCTATAGGATATGTATCTTGTTATTTTTTTTATAAACATATTTTTTTATAAACATATTTAATCATATATTTTATAAATATATATACATATTAATTATTTATTAATTATATTATCTTATGTATTATTAATTATGTTAATAAAAAATATATTATTAACAATTTTATTCCTTCAAATTAAAATATATCATAAAATCTATTTTTTCTGTAATTATTATATTGACTTATGTCTTTGTTTTAGTAATTTGTATATATAAAAAGTGCTTCTGATAACAACTATCCAAACACTCTCATTTCTCAAAATCACTTTTTCATAACATTTATTCTTTTCAGAATCTATTCTTCTCAGAATCACTTTTTTAAACCACGGTTTAGTTTTATTTAAACACACCCGAAGTGGGATAAGCTGTATACAAAGAAAGAAAAATAAGAATGGAAGAGCATCAGAGGTGCAAGAAGCAACTGAGAAAACAGGAGTGATGATCAGTGTTTTGAAAAATCAAAATGCAAAGTCTGAATCTTCTGGTGCCTGTGTACATTATTCAAAGAAGAGAGAGAGAAACAATGAAAGAAAAAGCTGACTTGGTGTGCGTGTTGTGGTGGGAAATGGCAGTAGCATCACGTGAGGTGAGAAGAAAGAGGTAAAATAATAAAAAGATGGGGATTTTAATAGGTAAGAAGAAAAAGAGAAGGGATAAAATAGAATAAAAAAATAAAAAATTATATTATTTTAATAAGTACTAGTTTGATCACAGTTGGATTCCGATTTGACCCATTAATCCTTAAACCACTATATTAACCGGTTTAGTATTGTATCTATTTTTTTGTTCCTTGCATATTAGACTAATATCAACTTTTAAAGTAAGTCCTATATCAAGTACCGAAGTACATAGATTATTAAATGACAAATGAATCTAGTCAACAAACTTAGGGTGTGTTTGGATGAAACCAAACTATGGTTTGGAGAATAGCTTTTGGAGAATAGATTTTGGAAAGAATAGATTCTGTGAAGAATAGATTTTGTAAAAAAGTAATTCTGAAAAGTGAGAGTGTTTGAATAGTTGTTATCAGAAGTACTTTTTATATATACAAATTACTAAAGAAAAGACATAAGTTAATATGATAATACAGAAAAATAAATTTTATGATGTATTTTAATTTAAAGGAATAAAATTGTTAATAATATATTTTTTTACCAACATAATTAATAATACATAAGATAATATAATTAATAAATAATTAATATGTATATATATTTATAAAATATAAGATTAAATATGTTTATAAAAAAAATAACAAGATACATATCCTATAAGCTCTTACACTCTCCCTTTTTTCTCTAAAAGCAAAAATTTTTTGCTTTTTGGGTGGGTGTTTGGGTGATTTATTTTTCAAACCATGGTTTAGGGTGCCACCCAAACACAGCCTTAGTCTTACTGGTAAAAATGTAGACGATAACTCATGATAGGACCATGGGTTCTGGCCCTATTGACTACTCCCCCGGTCCTAAATATAAAATCTTTATATGTATAAGACCCTTCTACATAAAAGGATCTTATATTTAGGATCGGAGGAGTTTTTTTTTTTTTTTTTACCTGAAGCCCTATTGACTATTTGAGACTTGCTCATATTAACTTTATTCAGTTATAAATAACAAATGAGTCTGAATATTTTTACTATTAATTTACAAATAATCTTAATTTCAACTAGGATTCAAGAAAGAAAAAATCTAGGGCTAGTTTTGCTACTCATCATTTTAAAATAAGATCACGTAGGTATTAATTTTGTTCATAAAGTTTGAATATAATTATTTATCTTAACCTTTTGTCTTATAATATGGTTCATGTGCATTGCATAGAGTATGGGATAAACTACATTTTTCTTAATTACCTGGATCATGAATATGTAGAGTTTTATTTATATTACATAGAGATATATTATATATATTTGTAATAAAAATCATACATCTCAAAACCTTTATTATTATTAGTATTATCTATATATATATATATCTACAACATTATTTTCCTCAGATAATATTATTAATATATATAATAAACTCTGTAGAAAATCATACTAATTCATAAACACGGTACAAAGTTCTGAGCCTACAGTCTACGAGTAATTCTTTCCAAGCATTTGAAAACTAAAAACTTTCCTGTATTCTTTCTAACTTTTTTTAATATTTTTTGTATGGTTAATATATAATAAGTATATATTCTCATTGATATGTATTGACCAACTTATGCTAGTACATATTACAAAATTGCCTTAAAAAATTATTGGTAATAAAAACCAAACCTAAAAATTCAAAATTATAATTATAATTATATATATAAGCTTATATTTTCATTATTTTACAAAATATTTTGGGCCCCTCCTCTTCTGATCTCATCCTAGTTCCGCCATCACTTGCCCCTTCATCTTTCATTCTTCATCGCTTCTGTAAAGTAAGAAAAAAACAGCATGCAGCCTCAGCTACCGCAACAAAAGCCTCTGTTCTTCTTCTTATTGAGCTTCATAATCTGGTCATGGTGGACTCTTAACGACGTCGTTTCGGACCCTCAGACGAATCTAGTGCGACTATGGTGTGACCCCCAAGACGGTGACAACGATGGGTCCATCATGAAGGAGATCCTGAACGAAACGTTTGGAGATCTGAGATCTCAGATCCAAAACCAAAACAAACACTTCGCCATAGCTCAATCAGTGAAGGCTAACATCCCCGTTTATGGCCTTTTTCAGTGCAGAAACTACCTCTCCGTTGCCGATTGCCTCGCTTGCTTTGACGTCGCCGCCGTAAACATCCGCAACTGCTCCGCCAGGGCATACGCTGCTCGTCTTGTCTACGACGGCTGCTTCCTCAGGTACAACTAGCTACTCCCCCAACCTCAAGTTGGACTTTTCCTTTTTCTTTCTCTTTTTTTCCCCCTTTTGGGATAAATATTGTGAGTTGTGATATTACTGTGTTTGCGCTTTTTGCGTTAAAAGTCAGAACAGCAGAGAGTAGAGAGAGTAAAGACAAACGAGAAAACGAGAAACTAATTTATTTCTCTGTGATGTATATATGATTCTGTAATTACAATATATACCATGATATGAAATAATAATAATTTCAAATACTACCTCCAGTTCCAAAAGCTGAATAAAGGTTGAACTTGAGTATAAATATAAAAATTATAATCTAATTTATCTTTTATATTTATCATTTTTGTTAAACTAATTTACCTAACTTATATAGATTAATATATAATCTAATGTTATAGAAGTATTTTAGAAAGATTATCTCATATTGGTTATCATTAACTAGTATATTTAACTTTTTTAACCAACTCAAATTAATTAAGCATTTCTTATATTAAGGGTGTGTTTGGTTGGAGGGGAGGGGAGGGGAGGGCAAATGAGCCCCTCCTCTCATTTGGTTGAAAATTTTAGAGGGGAGGAGAGCTAAAATGTCCCCTCCCCTCCCCTCCCCTCTCTCCTCCCATTTTGGCTCCCCTCCAAATTGGGGGTTTTTGGAGAGGAGTCAAAATTTTAGACCATTATGTCCTTATGATTTTTTTAATATTCCATTTCTACCTATAAAATATATTATTATAATATTTATTTCAAATAAAAAATATATTATCCTAAGTAAAAAAAATAAAAAATATATACATTATTATAATTAAAAATATATTATAAAAATTATTTAAAAATAAAAAATGATTTAAATAAAAATTATAATATTATAAAATTAATTGTTTTTTATAAATATATTATTTATTAAATATATTTTAAAGCTGGAAAAAAAAAGATAGCCTAAAGAAAATAAATTTCATTTTTCTTAGAGCATATAAAATTTGTTAATTTGATTATTTTAAATATATTATTATATTAATTAGAATAAAAAATTACTATACCAATTTTTTAATACACATATTAACATGATAAGACTAAATTTTTATTAAATTATATAATTTAAATTAAGATGTAAATTAATTTATATAATATATCAATAAAAAACATAAAATAATATGTAAGGATAAAATGGTAAATTGATTATTACTATCCCTCCTCTCCCCTCCTTGAACCAAACAAGGGATCATTAAATACCCTCCCCTCTCCTCCTTTTTAATCAAACCAAACAAGATGAGGATGAAATCTCCCTCCCTTCCTCCTCCCCCCTCAAACCAAATAGACTCTAAAGGGACTGAAGGGAGTATTATAATTTTAATGACGAAGTAACATTTCTTTTGTGACTAAACTTACGTTGTGTGATCATTAAATGTACGTTGTACTTTTTTCTATAAAATTTTTGTACAATACATGAATATTTTTAAAAAATTATTTATACTGTTCTTCTTAAAGAAACAAATCCATTTCAATTTGATAATAACCTTCAAGATAGAGCCGGGAAAACGGGCCGAGCCCATCGGGCCGGCCCGTTTAGGCCCTGAAATTACGAGGGCCGGGCTTGATATTTTTCTCTTAAAATGAGAAACAAGCCCTGGAGGGCTGGCCCTGAAGGGCCGAGGGCTTAAAAGGGCCGGCCCTGGAGGGCCGCGGGCCGGCCCTTTTAAGCCCTTTTATATATTTTTTTATTTTTTAAATTTTTTTATATAATATTAATGTTATTAATTTTTTACATTGTTAATAATATTTCAAATATTTAGTTATTATTATCATTTTAAAATTAAATTTAGTTTTAGACAATAATTTATCTAATTAAATTTTTAAAAAATCGGTTAATTTGAACTTTAATAATGATTTGATTTATATTATATGCGTTGATATTTTTAAACTATATATATTTGATAATAGAATATTTTTATACTTATATAACTTGTGATTCTATAATTTGAATTAGAAATTCATGAGTTTCAACAACAATGTTTCTCACATTAAAGTAAAATAATAGTTAGATTGTAAAATTCAAAAATAAAATTCTTATAAAGAAGAAAAACTTGATATTTTTGTTACGAAAGAAAAAGCATACTTATGAAGAAAAGTAATTAATTATAGTGATGATGAAGTTTCAAAAGATTAATGACAGTGTTTATTTATTGCACAATTGCATTATAGATAAAACTTTTAGATGTTGTTATCTTGTTAATGAATGTTTTAGATGTTCTTAGATGTTGATGAATATTTATATATGATGATATTTTATATTTGTGACTTAATTTATTCATATTTATGTCTTTTATTAATAATTTCATTGGTTTATTTTTATATTTTTTTAAAAAAATTTGATAAATATAAAAAAATAGTATTTTTCCTTAAACGGGCTAAAAGCCCGCGGGCCGGCCCTGGCCCTGTAGCTTAAGGGCCGGGCTTAGCAAATTGGGGTATTTTTAAAATTTCAGCCCTGGAGGGCCGGCCCTTTTAAGCCCGCCAGCCCTGAAGGGCCAGCCCTGGAGGGCCGGGCCGGCCCTGATTCCCGGCTCTACTTCAAGAGGCGCGTAGCCTTCGCACTTAATGAGTTGTAGAGGTTTGAGGCACCTCTAGTGGTGGTGGATACTTATTTGAGAGACTTAGGGCTCTGTTTGGATCAGCGTTTGCTGACCCAAAAAGAACTTAAATTATAAAATAAGTAGCTTAAGTTCAATGGACTTGTTTGGCAGCATCTAAAACTGACTGAGCTTATATAATTTTAAGCTCCTTGGACGCTCAGTTGGAATAAGCTAACTGAAGGAGCTTATCAATTAAATTACAAGAGCTTTCTCATGTAGCTGTTGTGCAATAGCAGAAAGATTCTTTGCTTTTCTCTCTCATCTGCCTTTTTCTTCCGCAAGAGCTCGGTCCAGCTTTCCTTTTCAGCCCCAGCTCATTCCTTCCTTTTCTCCCACTCGCCGTTCATGGTCGCCCAGCAGCAGCTCGGTCCAAGTCGCTCGGTGCCTTCCTTTTCACCCCAGCTCGGTCTCAAATTTTTTTTATGTTTCAATTTATGTTTAAAATATTTTTTTGATTTCTTTTAAATTTTAAAATTTAATGCACTCATTAAATTTGATTTCTTCAAATTAAATTATTTTAATTTCATTATATTATGTGAAATCAATTTTTTATCATGTTTCATTATTTATTAAAACTCATACCTATTTTGGTAATTTTTTAGCCAAACTTACTTTTACTCAACTATAATTCAAACAAGTTTTTACCAATCTCATTTTTGTAAACTAACTTTTCTGAACTTCAATCCAAACACAATTTAGCTTATCCAATTTAACTCTTACCAACTTCACTTTTCATAAGCTACTTTTTCTATAAGCTGCTTTTCTAATTGTTGATCCAAACAGGCACTTAGTAGGTGGTTTTTGTCCACGTTTTTGTTTTGTTAATGAACAAAGGTTTATAGGGTGTTTTTCCCTATTTCTTACCCAAGGAAAAAAAAATTCTTCTTTAAAAGCCGTAGGCCGCAAGGAAATTTCAAGAAACCACTTTATCCATTCACTTTTTTAATCAAAAACTGGTAATAATTATATGACACGTCAAAAAAAAAAGATTGGTGAAGGAACTTTACTCCGTCACTAATTCACTGTTTTTTTTTAAGCTTCTAAATAAAAAAAATGAATTAGCTTTTTAGACAAATGTATAAATTATACAGAGCACCCACCCTGTCCCAAAATTACAAGTTAAATAGGATCGGAGGCAGTAGAAATGAGGTGGCCGAACTAATTTACATCTTTTAGAGACTTACTCATTTGTTACCTTGATGTGTGTTTAAAATGAAGGTATGAGAGCAGTCAAAGCTTCGACTGGGCCAGCGATAGTTGGAACAACATAGTATGTGGGAATCAGACAATAAAAGATTCGCCTGCTCTTGCTTCAACTGTGCAACAAGTGCTAAGGAATCTAGGCATAGCAACCCCAAGAATCCCTGGTTCCTATGTGGCCACTAAGACGCCTGTCCCTAACAGTAATGATCTGAATATTTATGGCTTGGCTCAATGTGTTGACACTGTCCTACAAAATGGGTGCCGGACTTGTATTAACATTGCTTTAAGACACTTTCAGAATTGCCTTACCAACACAGATGCCAAGAGTTACGATATTGGCTGTTTCGTGAGATACTCCACCACTGCCTTCTTTGCTCTTAATCAAACCATTGATATCAACCCCTTCTTGAAACAAGGTAAAGTTATAATCTTCAAATACATAATTATTGTACATATACATATTTGCTTTTACATGTGAAATTTTAATTAAGTCCCAGGCTAGCATATAAATATATATATTTGCATATATTTATATATATGATTATAGGGAGTTATTCCATAAACTTCAAATGCATCGTTGTAAGTTAGAGCTTGATTAGAAAAGTTTCCTGCCCTGCAGGTTCAAGCAATAAAGGGGCCATCATTGGCATTGTTATTGGATGTTTAGTGCTTTTCTTTGTCTTCCTTATTGCATTATTTGCCTGGATTAGATCACGAAAAAGCCAAAAGAAGGTTCCCAGAGGTAAATAAGGTCTCCAATTTGATTTTTCTCAACATAAAAACCTATGGGCTTTCATCTTTATGAAAGCAGAAATCTCTGGCTTTTTTAATGACAAAAAAATGATGAGAAATTGAATTGATTAATGTTGTGCTCAACAGGAGATATTACTGGAACTAGCTGGTGCTTCCCCGTGCGTTGCACGGAAAGCATAACATAAAATGCATTCAATCCAATCAGTTTACGAATGTTGAGTATCACTAATTAGATAAGAAACAACTTACAACATCAATAAACATCAGGGCAAGTTTCTAAATATCTCCCTATAAACTACATTTGTTGTTGCCCTCTGTGAACATCCACCGCTTTCATCAACTACTACTTTCAATCCATCAACAGACTTCACTCTAGATAATGCCACATATAGTTGACCATGAGTAAACACTGGCTTAGGAAGATATATTCCAACCCTCTTCAAAGATTGCCCTTGACTTTTATTTATAGTCATTGCAAATGACAATGTAACTGGGAATTGTCTCCTTCTCAATCGAAATGGCCACCTACTTTCTGATGGATTCAGATCCATCCTATGCAACAATACTTTCTGATTTTTGTTCGATCCATTCAACCTGATTGCTTCAATTACGTTCTTCCCCAAATGTGTCACAATCATTCGAGTGCCGTTGCATAGTCCTGCTGCTTGGTCAATATTCCTTAGTAACATAATTGGTGCTCCAACTTTTAGATTTAGCTTATGCGGCGGTAATCCAGAACTATTAATTGTGTTAAGAAACTCAGTTGTATAGAGGTTGTCAAAGCAATCTGTATCTTCAGTTGACTTACATACTGTGTCACAGCTGAAATATTCGCACCCTTCACCAGGTAACAATGAACACATATACTCATTAAGCTGATTTACCAGCTCTATGGTTGGTGCGAGTATGGCTCGATCGTCGAAGAATTGACTAATACCAATATTTTGAACCAGATCACCGTACGTTGCTGAAACGATTGCCTCCATCCCATTTTTGTAATTATAGAGTAATAACTCTTTTGGGATCTCAATCTCTGCATTTCCATCATGAGGAAGTCCAATTTTGCCATCACCAACTTCTAACAACCAATTTGAGAATTTATCCAATGATAGGTTTCCTTCATATGTTGGGGAAGAAGTTAGACGCATGTTCCTTGTCAACTTAAAAACTGTGCAGTGAGACCATAGGTGTGATGAACATATGCATGCATCAACAACAGTTGCTCTTGTTCCCTTTGGTATTACTGGCAATATTTGACGAAAGTCACCACCCATAACAACACACTTGCCACCAAAAGGGTGTGTAGAGTGCATAATATCTTTAAATGTGCGATCAACTGCTTCAATACAGTGACGTTGAACCATTGGAGCTTCATCCCATATAATCAATTTTGTACTCTCAATCAGTTTTGCTAAGGGAGAATTCTGTTTAATTGAACAAACAGAGAACTCATTAATCTGTATAGGTATTGCAAACCTTGAATGCGCTGTCCTACCCCCTGGTAATAATGTTGCTGCTATGCCACTTGATGCTACTGTTAAAACAATTTCTCCTTTTGCACGCAATGCAGATGTCAAAGCATTCCATAGAAATGTCTTGCCTGTTCCACCATAACCATAGACAAAGTAGAAACCACCACATGGCTTCCTTATAGAACTGATGACTTTGTCAAATATCTCCTTCTGCTCCTCATTTAATGACCTAATAAGTAATGTTGATTCATCTTGCAATGAACTCTTGTCATAATTTAACTCTTGGAGTATGAGCTGGTTTGTAACATCAACTGCTGGCATGTACATAGGCAATGGGAGAGACGGGTAATCAAGTAGGCTTTTACCATTCAATCGCAACAACTTATCAATTTCTGCTAATGCAACTTGTTCCTTTTGCGAGTTTGTTATTAACTGACCTGTGACAACATTATATAATAAAACACATTATTATAACATGCTAACACAAAATATAGAATTTAATATTGAATTAATGAACATATAATTGCACTCACTTGAGAAATTTGGATCACGTTGTGGTATATAAAGTAAGTCCTCTGAGAGCACTTTTGAAGTTTCTTTCCAGACAAGATCAGGACGATTTAGGCAACAACATAGAAGCAACGTCACAAACATTTTCCTTAATGAGTCACCTGATGCCCATGTAGCTGCTTCCTTTAAAGCACAAATGAATTCCTTGTCGTCGTCCAATAAACCAAGTGCAAAGCATGCATCCCTAAACGTTGGAAGCACGACATCATTAATTGTACGTATCTCCTCAAATGAACGTGGACCCCTAACTTTTGTTAGTAGAATGCGAAGATAGTATAGTTCTCCCGAAGAAGGTGAAGCGTTTGTGATTCGTCCTACAGCAAAACCTTTTTTTCGTTCCTTCCATTCACGCTTATCTCTGTGGTAAACATAGTGGTTTGGAAACTCTGCATATGTAAGTGTTCTGGCAAATCCACCTTTCTCATTCATCTTCATCCATGCAATAAATTGAGACTCACAGACTCGTGGCTTGTCAAGTAATTCAGCAACATCATCTGAGTTTGAATAAATTATCGTCTGTTGGTTTGGCAAATGGTAACTAAGCCTCTCAATGGCAGGATATCTGTGGTGTATGTCAAATCCAAATATCCTCCATGCTGCCTCACATGCAGATATGTATCGAAAATTGTAGTATTGTTGAATTTCATCATGAACTCCTCCATTTGCATCAAAAATACTTGCAACAACTCTGTCATTACCCTTACTGATATACTTGAAAAGGTACTTGATAGATGTAGATTGATTGCACTTCTCTACATTAATGTGAGCTTGGAACTTTTTCAGCAATGTAGTATTGTACGGTACCACGTATCTGCTATCCAATGGAACTGATTTAACTTCAATTTGTCTTCCATCATCTCTTCTTCTATATGTAGGGTATCCATCTTCATCTATTGTTGTATGATCGTTGAATCTTTTCGGAAAGTATTTGCTGCATCTCTTGTCCTTCATGCATGGAGATTTAGGATTCATTGTTCCACAGGGACCATGAATCATGAATTTTTTCACCAACTCATATAAAATAGGATCTGAGTCCTTGTCAGGAATTTCTGCAGAGATAATCTTGTCTATTTGTTGAGGCTCTAAAATTTTATCTCTCTTGTCAAGGAAAAGAAGAATATGTGCATGGGGCAATCCTCTCTTTTGGAATTCAATGGTATATACTTCTGCAAAAGCAAAAATAAGAATAACAAAATTAGCATTAATTTTGAAAGTACTAATTAATAGAATTTGTTATAATATCTTTATTACTGACCTGCTCGTACCCTACCGAATATCTTATCCTTTTTTATAGTTCTCATCATTGTCTGTAATTTCATCTTGAAAATCCTTGTAAGAATCTGTGGAGAATCAGATGCTGTGACCATGTTTGATTCACATAATCTTTTAATCTCTGGCCATGCTGGGTTGCAAGTGAAAGTGATGAAGATATCTGGATATCCAGCCCATCTACATAAAGCCATCGCATCTTGATAGTTTTGGAGCATATACCGTGCACTGCCAGTGAAAGATGACGGCAGTATTATACGCCTTCCAGTTGATGAAGCATCTCTCTCCCCACTTGTTAGCGCATCAGTCAAACCTTGATACAATTCAACTCTAAGCTCTTTCTGATGTGTCCTAACCCAAAGCAACCTCTGAGCCTCAATCATTGTGTATCCATCAACGACAAATTGTTGCAATAATCTAGATGCATGTAATATGGTTGAGACTTCATGATTTCTGGCCATCAATCTATAAGTGAAATATTCTCTCATGCTGAGTTTTTTCCTCTTTTTGGTTGATGCAAGAGTTTCAACCCTATGTTCAACATCATCTCTATACCCATCTTCACCATAGGGGAACAATAATGGGTATTGAAGAGGCAAATATGCAGTATGTAATTCACTTATATGTTTTGGTGATCCTGACAACTCCTCTATTATTATATCCCTGACGTTAAACCCCATATCAATATCCCCAACTATCAAAGCAGCAACTTCAGAAGCGGATGGTAAATTATACAAACGTCCATCTTGGGATCGTGTACTAATCAAACGCAACTTCAACTCAGATCGTCCATGGTTGCTAATCATTTCAGATGCATAACGATATTGATGAACAAATGGATTAACTTCATCCAAGACATCTTTAATTATTCTGACCACACACGGATCAATGCTTGAATGGGTTTGATGCTTACTGTAACATAGGATTTAAAGCCACATTTGTTATCATTCAAATGGTTTAATTGAAATAATAAATATAATGAAATTGAGAGATTGAAATTGAAACAATTAATATATAACGTATACTAATGATTAAGAATAACAAAATGATAAAAATACCTTACAGCAGTGATTCTGTTCTGAACTTCATTTTCAGTATCATATATGTACAGCTGTGAATAGACTGGCTTTGCACCTTCTGGTGGTAGCAAACTACCAATGCTATGATAATTCATACCTGATAAGACAAAAGAATAAGGACCTTGTCCACAATTTTTAGCATGATCAATCTTACCACCCATTGAAGTAAATGAGAACATATTATTGTATTGCCTAATGTTCTCATAGAAGTTCTTTGATTGCAAAGATTGCTTATCAAAGAATAGTCTGTGCAAACTTGGAGGAGGCTCCTTCATTGGTGGTAACTGTACTTTTCCTTGTAAACAACAAAGTGAAAACATATTTGCATTCCTTTTTGTGTCCTTCTTCACTCTTTCATTATACCAAAGCATAGCTCCACAATATTTGCATGTATGTGATGGATCACCTTCATCCATATATTCTACATAGCAATAACATTTTCATAACAGAATAAAGATTGTGTTAATACCAGTATCTCTGAATAAGTGAAGATCCCACTTAACAATAAAATTAGTGATGATACATACCTTCTGTATTTGTGGATGCATTCTCGCAAGCATCTTTACTTGATGATCCGATCTCCAACGGATAAACATCCTCTGTCAAAAATTGATGTATATATGTTTCATATACTGATGCGTAGTACATAGAAGTAAAATAATATAACGAAATCAAATCATCTTCACAAACCTCCCTGTTGCTGGCTCCTCATATGTTCATCATCTGAAACCTCACTGGGGTCATGCCCGT